ACCAACGCACCCTTCATCCCCACTCCAGGACCATGCATATGTTTGCATTTCTTAGCTGAATTCCCCTCCAGTTTCTTTAAACGAGGATGCCTCTTTGTGGGTGTCTTCAGCACCACTAATTATCGTGGTCCCTAAACTTTTGGAAGAAAAGCAGCCTCCTTCATACATGCAGCATGCCCTGATCGGGAATCTGCCATTAAGTTTTCTTAGCCTACAACAAAAGCTTCAAGGAAAAGGATGTAAGCAGGTTAATAAAGACTTCCCTGGTTTGTGACCTCCTTTGAGACACATTTATCTGTGGGTCTTAAAGTGCTTTACCCAGGCAGGTGTGCTGTACCCCTGGTTTGAGGAATGGGAGTTAAGTGGTTAACTTAATGCAAAATTAGTAGAAAAGTTGTGAATTGAATCACCTCTCTCTGTAATCACTAGACTCCCTGCCTCCAGAAACTTACTTACCCTGGTATAGTTGTGCCTGTATCAATTATGTAGTGGCTTCAAGTAAAGGAGTGATTTCCCCCCCCCCCCCTGTTCTGTGGTGCGAGCTTATGGTACATCTGCAGTTACACTACCTAGTGCTCTGATCTGTCTAGTTAACCAAGCTAAGCAGACTCAGAGCTAGTCCTGTCACACTGAGAAGAGTTAGGCAGGTGTCTCAGGGCAAGGTGGCTTCCTGGTGAGTTGCCACTGAAGCAATGGCCTCAGATGGAATCAGTGAAAGGATGCTGGGTGCATCAGTCTCTTGAACAAACCCCTCAGCCAAATGCTGCCCCTTTGTGTTTATACAAGTCCCTCTGGCATAGTTGTGACAAGAGTAGGCACGTTTGGCCTAGTGTCCTGGCCAAATTCCATCTATTTAACCTTCCCCAGCTCCTCTTGCAAGCTGAGTTGGATAGGGTTACTGCTGCGTGGTCCTATAGTGTTTCTTTATGCTGTTAGCCCTTACGTTAACTCCACACCAGAACCGAATGGGAGCATATCTGATCAAACACAACTGCACTTAATTCGCACATCACATGCTTTGCGTTGTTGTGCCAGCCAATGGTGGTTATGCTAGCAGAATTGGATTTACCATGATACATGTAAAATGGTTTCCTTGCCAGTGTAACTGGTGCCCTGGAGTCATATATGCAACCAGGATTAGTGTGTGAGGGCATCTGTCCTCTTTCCTCATGCCCTCCAGGGAATTAGGAAACATTGCGGAGATTATTTGGTGTTTGCAGATAATGCATACAATGACACGCACATCCCTACACTTGTTTTCAAGCAGATGTTCTGGGGCCTATTACAAGAGCTTTGGTCTCTTGACAGCTTATCAGAGAGTGCCATGTGGTTGTCTCTTCCTAGCACACTCGTAACTGGTGCGGTTTCACAGTACGATGCAGCATAGCCCCAGGGAGACTGCCTCACCTTTGAATTTGAGATCCAAACTCTCTGTTGGCTTCCTATTCAGGCACATCACCCTCTGAAGGCAGGAGGGGGCCAGTATTTGAAGATTTCAGGGGTTAGCATGTGAAATGTACCCACAGCTTGCACCCACAGCTCACCTACTACACCAGCTGGAGCACAAGCTGGAGCCCATGCAACTTCAGTGACACACAGAAATGGGGAAAGATGAACTGTAAAGCTTCAATGGAAACAACAAAAGCCCATTCTGTATTGAAATAGCCTCTCCCTTACCTCCACATCTGAAAGAGCCAGAACTCCACAGTGCTCTGGACCATCATCTTCCAATCTACTCTGTCAGCTGTTGCAGAGCTGCGGCCATTAGAAAAGTATTTTGGGTACAAAAGGCACCCTGTGGATCTTGCCTTCTGCGCACCTGTGGCAGGTGCAATCCTTCAGTAACACCCCGTAGTGCTTTCTGTTTATGCATACCAGAGAGCATAGTGGGGAGATGTCATATCCTGCACCAGAGATTGAACTGAGCTGTTGCTGTTGTCTGATACCAGAAACATGTGGAGGGAAGCGCTCAGCCTATGGTGTGTACAGCTTCTAGGTTTCTGGGACAAAAGCAGAGTTGGTGCTTTCCAAGGGCATGCCTAAACTAGGAAAACAGGTCATGTGAGATTAGATAACAAGTATGTCTTTGAACCCAGGTGTTTCCTAACCTAAAGGAGGCTTGGTGTGTGAGACATTGTTGCAGGCTGCACATACTCCATCAAAGACGAGTCCTTGTAATTTCCGAACGCGTGCCAGGTGATCAAACTCTGAGCAGCTTTGGAAACTGTAGAGGCTGCAAGGATCAGATGGGCTTGTGGGACAATGAGATGATGTGGTGATACAAACTTCTAAGCCTTGCCTATGCTCTTGCTGCCAAGGGTGAAGTTAAGCTCTTGGGCCTCTGACAATATAAGGGTCAGACTTTTGCCAGAATAGGCCAGGCCCTAGAAAAGGGACATGGTTGTGGAGCAGCAGGTACAATCATTGTGGTGTTTCCCAATGCTTGGTAGTGTCAGGGTACCCATGTGCATACCTGCCTATGGTCCAGGAGTGGAATAAGTCCTGCAGGCACTGCATATGCAGGACCCACGTCTGTTACCCAGAAGTACCGGGTTTTAAAACATCCCGTGTCTGTCTACCCAATTGTTCTCATCTCCTTGAAATGCTGTAATATGGGAAGAAAATTGGGAGGGATTCTTAAACCTCTCTCTCCTCCTTTCCATGTTGCTAGATATAGCTACAGAATATATGCTCAGAGTATGTCTGCATATAGACAAGAGTATAACCCCACTGTGCACACAGCATGGGTATATGGTGCATTTTAATAGATATAGGCTACTAACTTAGCATATACAGTCACTATAGCAACTGAGGTTTCCTTAGCAACAGTTGCAGAAAATAATCCAGTACCAATTAAAAATAAACTGTTTGGGAAGGGGGGCACTGGGGGAGAAATAGAGCTACTGAGTATTGCCTTCCCTTTTTATTGTTTTTTTTTTATCCCAGGGAGTTGGAGGACTGGAGAAGGCTCAGAATAACCATTTTTCCCCTGAAATGAATCAAAGCAGTGTAGTGGGTTTGAGTGCAACCTGTTTGGTGTCTCAGGCTATTGCCCCAAAATGGGCAAGGGGCAGGGGAGGTGCAAGGGGGTTAGGAAGAACACAACAGTGTGAGCCTAAAGCTTCCTGTTAAGTTCAGGTCCCCAAAGAGCAAAGCCAGGAGTTTCTCCCCTGCCCTCCACGCCCCCTCTCAGCATGCATACCCTGGTATCTAGCCTTTATTAGCATACTGATTAAAGCCAAAGGCAATACAGGCTTCAGGGGAACTTTTAATGTGTTACCAAGATGCATATCCTCAGATGCTAGATTAGAGCAGAAAAGCGTCACTGTCAAGGGAGCCTCTTTCTTGCATTTGATGCCATTGATCTGGGCCTCTTCTCTCCTTGGCCTCCTCCACACATCAGAGACACACTCTGCTTGGCTGGCAGGCATTGGGGAGTGGAGAATGCAATGAACTTTTGAAGTAAATTGTAAGGCAAAATAAGGTACTCCTCTCTCTTCAGCAATAGAGAAGCAGCACCATCGTATTCTGGTGAATAGAGCTTGTGGGACAAATTGTCAGGTGTATAAAACTGCATAGCTGCCTGGACAGGGATGGAACCCAGCAAATCCCTTCCTGTATTTCTCTAGTATCTCCCATCCCCGAAGTGCTTTATAAATGTCATAAATAGAGTTGCCGGCTCTTATCAGCATGTGTATACTAACTCTATAAGCTGTGTGCATGCTGCCATCCTGCCATGCAGTCCTGAAATCCCCCCTCTTCTGGCGGTTGAGACACGATGGTGTTGTTACATTCCACAACAGCTCTCTACAGCTGTCCAGGAGATGACGAAGGCAATAGAAACTGCAAGTAAAGCTTAGGTAGTGATTGTAATTACCTGAACTGGATCTGGTCTGTAATATCAGTGTCCAGCACTACAACTCTCCTGACTGTTGAGAACTCGATAAAGCTTTTCTCCAGCATTAGGATTACCTGTTATAAAGGATCAGGATCATCGATCTGAGAGATGATGCATCCAGCTGTGGAGTTTACTGGCTCAATGCTGACCGGGCAGTGAAGGAGGTGCCACCAACTTAAAGTACCAACTTGTACCATGACCAGAGAGCTCCAGCCTGAGTACTTATGAGCTTGACCTTGTTCAGTGTATGTACCCTGAGATCTAGTTGGGCCCCCAGTGCAGAAATCTGAGGTAGATCTGATTACCGGCCTTGCACAAAGAGGACATCAGAGTTTTAAACCTGCTCAGGGCAGCCCTAAACACAGTGGCTGCTGTGTTTTCCATGTACCACTGCTTCCATCTCACCTCCTGCCGGGGAGCTTAACTGTTAGAAGCAATGGTGGGAAGCTGAGAGTAGATGAGGTTTCTTTGGCTTGCCCAGTCTAATGTAGCAAGTCTGTGACAGGACTGGGGCTAGAATTGCCAACAGGCAGCCCTGCCATCTTCTAACTAGCACATGTGCCTGCCAGCTCCGTTCCATCTCAGCATCTGTTTCTCAAATGGCACACGTTTAATGTCCCTATGTGTGTGGCTCTTCCCTGTCCAGGATGTCGGATCTCCCTGAGATGGCTGCAGTGGGGTAGGGTCAGCAGCACAGGAGCTTAGGCTAGAACAAGCATAGTTTAATGGTGGAAAAAGTCATTTAGCAGACGTGATGCTGCTAAATGAGCACTGGAGAGCCAGTGTTTGGTGCAACTGCCCTGCTCAGCCGGATGCTTCGCATCTGGATGGATTAAGGTGGGGCCCTTTAATGAGACCTGAGTTTTCTGTGAGAAGCCAGACCTCAAGGGAGGACTCAAGGATACACTGGGGAGGAAGAGGGGACTTGAATTTCCTGTGGATCAAGGGTTTTGTTTAGTTTTGTATGATGTGATCTGAGGCAGAGTGAGTATGACAGTGCATGGGCGGGAGGGTTGTTTCCGTCGTCTCGTAAACCCTGGATTTCTTTCACTGTACTAATAATCTGCCTCCTTCTCTTCCTCTCCCCTGCCTGTCGATCTAGTGACCAAGCTGCAGGTCAGCAAATCAAAGCGGAGCATCACCCTGGTGGAGAACAGGCCCATCCCTCTGAACTGCTCCGTGAAATCCCAGACCAGCCCGGACTCTCACTTTGCTGTGCTGTGGTATGTCCACAAGCCCTCTGATGCCGATGGCAAGCTCATCTTGAAGACCACTCACAGCTCTGCCTTTGAGTACGGCACCTACGCTGAAGAGGAGGGCCTGAGGGGGAGGCTGCAATTTGAGCGGTCTTCCTCTGGCGGGCTTTTCAGCCTTACCGTCCAGCGGGCCGAGGTCAGCGACAGCGGCAGCTACTACTGCCACGTGGAGGAGCAGCTGCTCAGTCCTAACCATGCCTGGTACAAGCTGGCTGAGGAGGTGTCTGGGCGAACCGAAGTCACAATCAAGCAGCCAGGTAACATGCAGCACCCTGGGAGGATGCTGCCAGAGCAGGTCCTGGTGGTGCATGGAAGAAACATACCTCTCACCCCCTCTCACCACAGATCATTTCTCCCAAGAACTCCAGCTGACCCGAACTTCTCCCCACGGGAGAGATTTGAACCAAACCATTCCTTCCATCTCTATCAAGCATTTGTCCCCCCAACTGGGTCCTGTTGCTCCTCCCTCACCTCACAGCAAAAGCTTTGCCCCTTAAGCTGGGAGGGCAAGCTTCCCTTCTCCATTCACCTAGTTGTCCCCCTTCTGACTGTTGGCTGCTGGGTGGCTGCCTGCACCCTGCTCTTGAATGCTGGTATGGGATGTCTCCTCTATTTAGGTTGGGACAGTACACATTTAGCCTCTGACCTGGGCATTTCTGCATATAGGTAATTCATTCTCCTGCCTGTGCAGTGAGATGGTAGATCCAGGGCCTGCTTCCTTCACACCTGGAATGACTGATGCTATCCATGTGCTGGACTGGGCAGAGAGAGAACAAAAGGGGAAAGAAATGGCCATGGAGAGGTTGGGTGGTGTATTGAATGAGTTGAGGACTGCTAAAAGTTGAGTCTCCCTTGCTGAGGCAGACAGCAGGGACTGGCAGCTCTAGCAGGGCAGGTCTTAATGGAGAAGAAATTGAGGATGTTTTTCCATCTCTCAGGCTTTTGATTTGCCTAGGTAAGGTAGTCGGGTTCAGGCTAGGTTTGGCTAGCCCATGACTGAAGTTTGTATGTTCATCTTAACCAGCAGTTTTTGGTTATTTAGCCTGAGCCTCCTTCAGCATGGGTGTGCAGGCCGCCTCCCGATCCCGTCAATGTCGCCATGTGCGAGCTGGGAGCGATATGCGGACCCGTCTTTGCGCACGCGGGCTGTGGCCAGCAGCCCGGGCACGCGGGGTCAGAGGAGACCGTGCGGCGGCAAGGCACGCACGGGCTAGAATTAGTCACAGACGCGTAGTGGTTGATTCAAAGATTATTTACTTACACCCAAGATGGTCGCGGTGTAGGCTGGACAGTTTCCAGGTTCAGCTCCGCTTAAATCCTTGTTGGAGGACTACGACAAATTCGGTTCTTGGGCCCCGGAGTTGTTAAAGCTCCGTGGGTTCGGATCTTGAGTATATAGGATAGGGATACGTCTAGGATTGCGCTCGGCGACGGGGAGAGGCCAGAGGCTGTTTAGACCTCTGTTGCCTTCTTAAGAAATGCGTTGGGTTCGTAAGGATCCACAGCGCTTAGAGATCTTCACGCTCTCCCTCTCTGACTCCAGTTGCTTTCTCTCCAACTGGGGCGAAACCCACCCAAGCTCTTTATACGGCTAGCAAGCCAATTGCTAGCCGCCACGTGTGCATAATTTAACACAAGCCAATAATGGGGCTCGAATTAAAATACAAATGGTGGGGACTCCTTTGCACTGTGCATTTCCTAGGTGCAAAAGAAATGCACCATGCAAAGAAAGCTACAAATTCTCCGTTGCACCGGAGTTCTCCTCTGCAGCAGAGAACTCCACCATGCAAAGAAGCTGCAATTTAACGGGAACATAATTTAGCAGTGCCGAAGCGCGCACACAACAAAAACTCACAACTTTGGGTTGTGACAATGGGGAGGAGGGGTTCTGCAGGAGCAAAGAGGGAGTCTGTTTGAGACATTGTCATGCAGCTGGAGCAGCAACTAGTGGCAAACTGAGTGAGAGCTGAGTGAGTTCATGTACTGGGGGGAAAAGCTCTGCAGATGGCAGAACTTTTTCATGCAGTTTGATTTTACTCTGTCTATATCCCGGCAGGTGTGGGAAGTATGGTCTCTGTTCCCTTGCACTCTGCATAAGAGATGCGAGTAATGAGTTTAATGAGGTGGGTGCCAGGGAGGGAGAAATCTACTCTGCTGGTGGTTTCCATGGCAGAGGGTAGCATTGGCAGAGTTGGGAAATGGAAGAAATAAGGCTGGACTGAATTACATGGGAGACGCATCTCTCTCTACTACACCTCTATGGGCCACAGAGGCTTTTTATTTCTGAGAGATGTTGAAGGTTTGGCCATTTTCCCTAACTATGCCTTGCTCCAGAGGAGTATTATGGGTGCTGCTTTCTCAGAGGAAACTTGCCATGCCCAAACAGATTGCTAGGTGTGGCGTGCACCCTATGTGGGTTAGCTGCCTGCAGCAGGGAAGAACATTCAGGGATTTGGGAGTGGAGGAGGGGGCCAGCAGGGCTGGAAAAGATGCCATAGGTGTGTACAGCTTGCAGTCCTCTCATTCCAGGAGGCTGGGCCTGGGCAGGACGAAGTCTGTTACCCTACAGCAGAGAGAGCCCATCACCAGCTACTCTGCTAGATGGTGCCTTTTTAGTTACATAGGCGTGGGTTAGAGCAGCAGTTGGCATCCTTTTCAGGAAGTGGGATGGATGGCACACTCCAGTTCCAGGCAGACCCTGCCACCGCCACTGTTTCTTTTCCCCTCGACGCAACAGCACAGGGACAGCTCCTGTAGCCGCCACTTTTCTCAACCCATGCTGCTGCAGGGAGACCACTGCTGAAGCCCACCACCACCAAAAGCCCCACGTTTGCAAGCCAAATCAATGGCTTCATGGATTGGATTTGGCCTGAAGGCTGTAGGTTGCCAACCCCTGGGTTAGAGCATATGGCTTGTGGGGTTGGAAGGTCACCAGTCACAGCTGTTGCCAACACTGCACAAATTCTTAGACTGCGGTCTGGAGAAACATAGACTTCAAAGAGTGACTAGGGAGGAGGGGGACTGATGCATGTTGCGGGGGTTCTTGCCAACCACCATGTTTACATCACTTCCGTTTTGCACATTCAGTACTTTGGAAGATCCTTTGGCATGAACTTCTGCTTGGTAGTGTCAAGATGTGTACTGGGTGAAGGAAGCCCAGCCCTGGGTTGCACGGCCAGTTTGCTAGGAGTCTGGGATGCACCTGTTCTGTGTTAAAGAGCTGACTGTAGCCATCCTCTGCATGTCTACAAAGTTGTAGGT